TTCCTGGTGCATGCCGTCTCTCTCCTCCTTTATAGTCCTCCTCCGCCAATCCCAACTCGGCTGAGTACGCTGCTCTCCAATCAGGAGCAAGTCCTACAGTTAATTGGTTGAACTGGAGGCAGCTGTGCGGAAGCTGTTTACTTCTCTCCCAGCGCCATATTGTGGGAGAGCAGATGCATAGAATAAGTCCTAATTCGAGCAACTTAGTCTAGTCCGGATTGCTCCCCACAGATCCCCCTTTCTTTTTATTTTTTGGCGTTGATACGCGCCTGTCTTCGGTGTCCCGCAGCACACACTCTGCTGTACTTGCTAGAGTTGCCACAGGCTCTTACAAGTCCTATCAATCAGGCAAACCGAATCCGGGTCCTCTCTTCGCCATGTTGTGAGGAGGTTTTTAGGCGCTGATGCGTGCCTGTGTTCGGTGACCTGCGGCTCACACTCTGGTCGAGCCGCCTGCTGGCGCTTACCGCCTTAATTAGGCAGACCGAATCCAAGCCTTCTCATTGCCTTTTTGTGGGGAGGCCTTACTGATGTTAATTCGTGCCTGTCTTCGGTGACCTGCGGCGCATAAGCTGCTAGCCGCCGCAGGTGCTCATCGCCTCACTTAATCAGGCAGACCGAATCCAAGCTCTCACAGTGCAGTGTTGTAGGGAGGCCTTTCTATTTCTCTATTTCTCTATCTCCGGGCATTCCTATTTCTCCCATTTCACTTCTATCTTCCAGCATTCCCATTTCTCTTTTACTTCACTTCCAAACTTCTGTTTCTCTTATCCCTGCGGCTTTCCGGCACCTCGCCCCGCCGGCGGGTTCCCGGCTCTGCGCCGCTTCAGCCCGCGCGCCTCTCTGCGCGGCTTCCCGGCTTTGCGCGGTCCGCGGTCTCCACGCTTAACCCTTTCGCGTCTGAACCACGGCCTACGCCAGCGTTCCCTATCTATTCACGCCCCGTGCTCTCTCTGCACGCGGCGGCTTCCGCGAGTAACACAGCGTAGCTTGCGTCTCCGCCACTAGGATTCAATCTAAGTTCCCCGGGCTAGCCTGGCGAATTCAACCCAGCGTACGTCTCCGCCCCACGATCTGGCTTCCCGTCCTTTGCTCCCCGGGCTAATCAGACGGATCCCAATCTGGCTTACGTCTCAGCTTCTGGTTTCAACTTTTCGCCCCCTATTCCCGGGCTAACTTGAGAACCCCAAAGTGGCTTTCGTTTCCGCCTCGGCCTGCCCCCCGCGGCTTCAATTTCCCTAACATTTTTCTCTACCCGGTATATTTCCCAAGCTTTCCTCCAACAATACTCCTCCCTCATTTCTCCTGGCCTCTCCCCACAGTCTGCGTCCGAGTCTGTTTGTTCTAGCTTTCACTTTCTGGCCTCTCCCCACAGTCCGCATCTGAGTCTGTTTGTTCTAGCTTTCACTTTCGCTTTCGACCTTAGAGATTCCTCCCAGCTTCCCCCCGTAGTCCGTATCCGAGTCTATGCCTAGGCTTTCAATAGCTTCTTCCGGCTCCTTTTTCGTCCGGCTTTTCCCTAGGCTGTTTGCTAGTCTCTCTCTCCGATATTTTCCCAGTTCTTCCCGTTTCTTCCCTCCTAAGTTTCATATCCGAGTCAGGTTTCCTATCCGAGCTAGGTTTCCTATCCGAGTCACGTTTCTTCCCTCCTAAGTTTTCTATCCGTCCTAGGTTTCCTATCCGAGTCACGGCACCATTATGTCGCTCCCCCTCTTCGTGGAGGAACGACACAGGACCCTGCGCTGTTCTTTCTGTCTGCTCGGCCCTCCCCGGGTTTGCTGCTGGTTCTTCCCGGGTTGGCTACTATCCCTTCCACCTCCGTGGAAGGGCAGTTCCCCCTGGCCGCATTCCCCACTTCCGCAGGGGAGCGGCACACCGCCGGCCGGCTCTCTGGGGGCTGCACGGGTTCCCTTAGATGTTCCCCATAGATGTTCCTGGTGCATGCCGTCTCTCTCCTCCTTTATAGTCCTCCTCCGCCAATCCCAACTCGGCTGAGTACGCTGCTCTCCAATCAGGAGCAAGTCCTACAGTTAATTGGTTGAACTGGAGGCAGCTGTGCGGAAGCTGTTTACTTCTCTCCCAGCGCCATATTGTGGGAGAGCAGATGCATAGAATAAGTCCTAATTCGAGCAACTTAGTCTAGTCCGGATTGCTCCCCACAGGTGCAGGGACCCAGGCACGTGGGCCATCCCCTCTGACGGCTGTGGGAGCAGCCAGGACTGGAACCCGCGCTCGAGATGGTTGCTGGTGTCGTAAGCGGTGGCTTCACCTGCTGTGTCACGGCGCCGACCCCAAAATGGGACTTTGCGTTGTGCAGTGAAGTACGTGGATTAGAGAGCAAACCACGCCCAGGCAACGGGATCGTCTGCAGGAAACCAAGGGCCCACGGGAAAGCTGTGGGACAGACGGGTTTAGCAGGGCGCCAGGCGCCGAGAGCCAACCGTGGGCGGCACGGGCCCAGCACCGGCTGGGAGCCGAGCAGGTCTCGGAGGGAGGGGGTCTCCAAACTCCGGCATCCCCGTGGATTTCAAAGGGAGGCAGAGTGACGGGGAGAGACAGAGAGAGCTCCCGGCCCCTGGCTCACAACAGCCAGGGCCGCGCCAGGCCAAAGCCAGCAGCCAGGAGCTCCAACCACGCGTGCCACGTGGGCCTCCCAGGCGCCTTAGCAGGGAGCTGGCCGGGACGTGGGTGTGGGGGTGGAGCCAAGGCACTGACACAGGTGAGGCAGCCGCTGACCCTGCTGGCCGGAGACGCTGCCCAAGCACACCGAGCTCTCCAGGGCGGCTGGACTGCAGCCTGATGCAGTCAGCAAGCTGTGGATTTGCAGGCCCGCCCCGGGACTGCCTGTCCTCGCCCTTCGCCCACCTGTCACGCCCAGCCGCGGCCTCCCGCCGGGCGGCCAGCTTGAGAGCTTCCAGGCCGCGTGCTACGAAGTTGCAGGCAGCAGTGAGCAGAGTCGCAGGTGGGCTTGTTAGGCGGGAAGTCAGTTATGAGCGTGTGTGTGTGACATAAAGGCCTACAGAGAGGACGTCCATGTCCAGCACTGCATCTGCTGGCAGTGTTCCAGGGGCAGCCCGGCCTTCGCACCCTGCCCTGCCCCTTCTACCCGATAACCTGCCAGGTGGGGGTCCCCGCCCCTCCTGCCTGACAGTCTCCCACAGTCTCCCAGGTGCAGCCCAGTCTCTGCATCTCAAACACCCTGCTCAGCATCCCCATTCTCCAGGGGGCCCTGCTCACCCTTCCTCTGAACCCAGGATGGCGCCAGCGAGGCTTCCTCCTGTCTGATACCTTCAGGGGAAAACTCAGATAGGAGCTTCTTAGTATTTACAGCCATAAACTCCTTTGTTTCAGGAGGGGATGTGTGAAGACAGAGACCCATCTCCTTAACCCCCACCCCCACCCCCGGCCTCAACCGGACTGTGCGCTCAGCCCTCTGCCTCTCTGCTGAGCCGCCCGCCTGCCTGCCCAGGTAGAATCCCTCCACTCAGCCATGTAACCTCGCTCTCCCCCAGTCCGAGCGATTGTGCACTCTCTCAGGTCCTGTCTGGAGAGGTGCCCATCCGTCCTTACAGATGTCCCTGCCCTAATAAACCTTGCTATTTCCTTCCCACTACTCTCTGTCTCACACCTGAATTCTTTCTTGCGCGAAGACAGGAACCCTGCCATTTCTCCGTAACAGGCTCCGACCTCGTCCCCTGTGAACTCCCACATCTACCGTGGGACGGTCGCGATTCCGCCGTGACACCGTCACACGCGCCGGTTCCAGCCCCACCTGCTCCACGGCCGACCCAGCGCCCCGGAGGGCAGCGGAGGACCCAAGGGCTCGGGCAGTGCGCCCACGTGGGAGACCGGAAGACGCTCCCGGCTTCGGCCTGGCCCAGCCCTGGCCGTGCAGCCATTCGGGCAGCGACCGGGGATGGACCGTCTCCCCCACCCCCAGCTCTGCCTCTCAAATACGTGAAACCTTCCCCCTAAGGATCTGTGATCAAATGAAGGGATCTTCAGTGATGTCTGCATTTAACCACCAACTCATAAAAGGCCTCAGGGTCCAACAGGTGCCTCCTACGAGTCAGTGGGCCAGTGGGCGCTCAGGTGCCCGAGGGCCCAGAACCTCCTGCAGCCTCCGGACGGCCCCTGCGAGCCGAGGCCAAGTCCCGGTCTCCCCAAACCGCCCCAGAGGACTCGGGGCCTCTCTCCCCTCTGGGGGGACACGGCGGGCCTCTCTCCCCTCTGGGGGGGACACGGCGGGCCTCTCTCCCCTCGGGGGGGGGGGGACACGGCGGGCCTCTCTCCCCTCTGGGGGGGGGGACACGCGCGGGCCTCTCTCCCCTCTGGGGGGACACGCGCGGGCCTCTCTCCCCTCTGGGGGGTCACGGCGGGCCTCTCTCCCCTCTGGGGGGACACGGCGGGCCTCTCTCCCCTCTGGGGGGGGGGACACGCGCGGGCCTCTCTCCCCTCTGGGGGGACACGGCGGGCCTCTCTCCCCTCTGGGGGGACACGGCGGGCCTCTCTCCCCTCTGGGGGGGGACACGGCGGGCCTCTCTCCCCTCTGGGGGGGGGACACGGCGGGCCTCTCTTTCCTCTGGGGGGACATGCGCGGGCCTCTCTCCCCTCTGGGGGGGGACACGGCGGGCCTCTCTCCCCTCTGGGGGGGGGACACGGCGGGCCTCTCTCCCCTCTGGGGGGGGAAACGCGCGGGGCAGGGCGGCGGCGGTCAGCTCCGAGCTGGGGCCGCGAGGACCACACGGGCACTCTGGGAGGAGAAAGCGAAGGGCCGGCTGCAGACAAGAGCTGCTGTCGCCTCCCACCAGCCGCCGTGCGTGTCGCAACGCTCTCGGCAATGAGCATTCCACGGCGGCTCCTCGGCGCCCGCTGCTACGTCATCTCCCGCCGCCGTGCTGAGGCCGGCGCCATGCTGCGGTACGGAAACGTCAGGTCTGCGCCGCGGCCGCCCGCCTGTGCCTCGCTCGAGGCCCCGCCCCCTGACGTCATCGCGCGAGCCCACGGGCGCCGCCATGTTGGGGGTCCTCGCCAGGGGCGCGCAGGTGTCTGCGTAAGATGCCGGCGCGGCGGCGCGGGCTCCCCCAAGATGGCGTCCATGCGGGAGAGCGACACGGGCCTGTGGCTGCACAACAAGCTGGGGGCCACGGATGAGCTGTGGGCGCCGCCCAGCATCGCGTCGCTGCTCACGGCCGCCGTCATCGACAACATCCGCCTGTGCTTCCACGGCCTCTCGTCGGCCGTGAAGCTCAAGCTGCTGCTCGGGACCCTGCACCTCCCGCGCCGCACCGTGGACGAGGTGAGCGGGCGGCGCGCCGGCCCCGGCCGTGCCCCGACGCCCGCCGTCTGCCCTCCCGACAGACCCGCGCCTCGTACCGCCCCGGCCCTCGCGCCTGCCCTCCCCCACCCCCGCCCTCGGTTCCCCACCCCCGGCGCTGCGGACAAACGCCCCTCACGTCCCCCCCACAGCCCCCCTCACGTCCCCCTCACGTCCCCCCTCACATACCCCCCTCACGTCCCCCCTCACGTCCCCCCTCACAGCCCCCCGCCTCACGTCCCCCCTCACAGCCCCCCTCACATACCCCCTCACATACCCCCTCACATTCCCCCCTCACAGCCCCCCTCACATCCCCCCTCACATGCCCCCCTCACGTCCCCACTCACATACCCCCCTCACATACCCCCCTCACATCCCCCCTCACATGCCCCTCTCACGTCCCCACTCACATACCCCCCTCACATACCCCCCTCACGTCCCCCCTCACAGCCCCCCTCACGTCCCCCCTCACAGCCCCCCTCACATGCCCCCCTCACATACCCCCTCATCCCCCCCTCACGTCCCCCCTCACAGCCCCCCGCCTCACGTCCCCCCTCACAGCCCCCCTCACATACCCCCTCACAGCCCCCCTCACATCCCCCCTCACATGCCCCCCTCACGTCCCCACTCACATACCCCCCTCACATACCCCCTCACATACCCCCCTCACGTCCCCCCTCACAGTCCCCCCTCACATACCCCCCTCACAGCCCCCCTCACATGCCCCCCTCACATACCCCCCTCACAGCCTCCCGCCTCACATACCCCCCCTCACATGCCCCCCTCACATCCCCCCTCACATACCCCCCTCACGTCCCCACTCACATACCCCCCTCACATACCCCCCTCACATACCCCCCTCACATACCCCCCTCACATCCCCCCTCACAGCCCCCCTCACATACCCCCTCACGTCCCCCCTCACGTACCCCCCTCACATACCCCCCTCACAGCCCCCCTCACGTCCCCCCTCACGTACCCCCCTCACATGCCCCCCTCACGTCCCCCCTCACGTACCCCCCTCACATGCCCCCCTCACAGCCCCCCTCATGTCCCCCCTCACATACCCCCCTCACATACCCCCCTCACAGCCTCCCGCCTCACAGCCCCCCGCCTCACGTCCCCCCTCACAGCCCCCCTCACATACCCCCTCACATACCCCCTCACATACCCCCCTCACGTCCCCCTCACGTCCCCCCTCACAGTCCCCCCTCACATACCCCCCTCACAGCCCCCCTCACAGCCCCCCTCACATACCCCCCTCACAGCCTCCCGCCTCACATACCCCCCCTCACATGCCCCCCTCACATCCCCCCTCACGTCCCCACTCACATACCCCCCTCACATACCCCCCTCACATACCCCCTCATCCCCCCCTCACGTCCCCCCTCACAGCCCCCCGCCTCACATACCCCCCCGCCTCACGTCCCCCTCTCACATACCCCCGCCTCACATACCCCCCCCCTCACGTCCCCCCTCTCCTGGTCCCTCAGGTCTTCCCCCCACCCGCATAGCCTCGCGTCTCCCCCTACCCCGCTCCTGACTGCACCCCCATCTTCCCAGCGAGTGGCCCCTCCTGACACCCCCCTCACGCCTCCCTCCACCAAGGTGAGGGGGCGGGGGTCTTCACGGGTGGTGTGGGCTCGTGGGCCTGCGCTCGGGTCTGCGGGGGAGGGCGGGCGGGGGTCTTCACGGGCGGTGTGGGCTCGTGGGCCTGCGCTCGGGTCTGCGGGGGGGGGGCGGGCGGGGGTCTTCACGGGCGGTGTGGGCTCGTGGGCCTGCGCTCGGGTCTGCGGGGGGGGAGCGGGCGGGGGTCTTCACGGGTGGTGTGGGCTCGTGGGCCTGTGCTCGGGTCTGTGGGGGGGGGCGGGCGGGGGTCTTCACGGGCGATGTGGGCTCGTGGGTCTGCGGGGCGGCCCTGTTTCCCGCGGGACCCCGGCAGCACCTGCCTGTGCGTGCACAGATGGGGGCGGCGCCCCGTGTCCCGTGTCCCGCTGCTCCCCGCCGCATCCCCCGCCCCGGCCCGGTTCCCGCAGTGCGGTGCGTGTGGCAGTGGTGGGTGCCGGGTCGCTGGGCCATGTCCTGGAGTGTGGAGGTGCCGCCAGGCCACGTGGAGTGGCCGTGACACTCGGGAGCGGCTGTGACGTGGGGTGCCGTGGCACTCAGTGGCTTCACGGACAGTGGCACGTCAGGGGTGGCTGTGGCGTGGGGCGGCCGTGTCACTCAGGAGTGAGCATCTTTTTGCTTGCTGTTTGGTCCTTTTTTTTTTAAGATTTATTTTCTATATTTGAAAGAGTACAGAGAGCGAGCGAGCGAGCGAGCGCGGTCTTCATCCGCTGGTTCACTCCCCAGATGGCCGCCGCGGCCGGCGCACCGCGCTGATCCGATGGCAGGAGCCAGGAGCCAGGTGCTTCTCCTGGTCTCCCATGGGGTGCAGGGCCCAAGCACCTGGGCCATCCTCCACTGCACTCCCGGGCCACAGCAGAGGGCTGGCCTGGAAGAGGGGCAGGCGGGACAGGACCGGCGCCCGCATGGGGTGCCTGCGGGCGGCGGCTTTATCCCACTGCGCCGCAGCGTTAGTTGCCGGTTTTTTTTGTGAGTTGGCTTTTCAGGTCTGTTTTCCCTCGGTTCTTTGCTTGTTGTGAGTGTGATGGAAGTGGTCCTTTTTCGGTGGCGTGTGTGACAAGCAGACCTGGAGACCCCGCAGTCCTGGTCGTCAGCTGTGTGCCGGGGTGGCCCGTGCGCGCTGAGCCAGTCCCGGCCTCCGCCGCTGCGCCCCCGAGGAGTCTGGGAGGTCAGCGCCCGGGCTCAGGTGGGCCCTGGCTGTCCTTGTCCGTGCGCCGGCCACGCGTTTTCTGTCGCGGCGGGAGGTGACTGCGAAGGTGGTTCTGGGGTGCAGTGGCGCTGGCCCATCTGCCGGTGTTGTGGGTCGGGGCGATCTGAGGGATCCGGCAGCTCGTGGAGAGCCCACGCGGGAGAACACTGGGGCGCCAGCGTTTGGGTACTGAAGTGAGCTGGCGCTGACCTGCTGCGCGTGGGCAGGCGGGCCCTCGGGACAGGGCTTCAGTCTCACCGTGGAGGGACGGGGAGCTCCGAGGTGCTCTGCGGTAAGCCCCCAGGACCCCCGGTTCACGAGTGGCGACTCGGGCTGATTCTCATTCAGGACACAGGCACGGAGAGGCGGTTCTGGGCTGAATGCAGGAGTCGGGCCGCCCGCAGGCTCTGCAGGCAGGAGGCTGGCCGAGGGCGCAGAACACGGAGTGGCAGCGCAGACCGTGCGCGCCCCACGGTCCCGGGCGGCGCCCTCCCTCCTCAGCCCGCACAGCCGTGCTGGAATCAGGCGGAGCGGAGCTGGCCGTGGGGTTTTTCCCAGGGGGCTTGGGATCCTGGAGTGTGGACAGGAGATGAGACGCGGCGGTACCCGTGGACGCCATGGCTGCTGTGAGCGCCAGGGCCCGGCAGAGCAGAAGTGCCCGAGGCGGCACCGGCGTCCTCAGGTGGACCCTGCAGGTGCAGGGAGTGGTGGCGTCTGCTGGTAGGCGAGCGCCCTGCTCGCTGCTGTCGGCACTGGGGGCAGCCTTGTGGGCGGCTCCCACGTGAGGGGCAGGTGCTGCGGTGCAGTGCTTCACCCCACTCGCCGCGCCCTCGTCCTGCTGGGAGAGCGGTGGAAGATGGCCCAGGCGCTTGCGCCCCCGCGCCCCCGCGGGAGACCCTGGGGCGGGAACCAGCAGGTAGAGGCTCTCTCGCCGCCCTCCTTCTCTTCTCTGTCACTCTGCCTTTCACGTGTGACAGAGAAACACTCTCGCGTGGCCGGCTCACGCCGCGGCCGGCTGCAGTGGCTGGGAGCGGGGTGGGAAGTGGGCAGCTGGCACTGCGGGACTCGGCCAGAGCCAAGTGGGCGGGCTCTCCCTGCGAGCCCAGCCCAGCCCCGCCCCAGCGCGGCACCTTTAGGAACGTCCTCAGGGCGCCGTCTCCGCTACTGGCAGCAAGACCGTGGGCTGCAGGCTGGCGTGGCTTCCCAGCCTGGAGGGGCCCGTGGTCCGGAGGGCGGCCTGGCTGCGCGCCTGACTCCAGGCCTGGGCGCGGCTGCTGGCCGTGGCTCTGGGGCATCTGGGGAAGCGGACCAGCGGACGCGGTCACCTCGACCTCTCTGCTCTCAAGTAAATGATGCCTCAGAAGGTCTCTTGAACCTGACGGGGCTGATGTTGAGAAATGAAGTTTAAAAATGTTTTGAGTTCACTTTGGAAAAAAGTTAAAGTCATTGAGGGGGGAGGGAGAGGGAGAGAGAGGGGTCCTCCATCCGTTCACTCCCCAGGTGGCTGCAACAGCTGGAGCTGTGCCGATCCGAAGCCAGAAGCATCCTCTAGGTCTCCCACGCGGGTGCAGGGCCCAAGGACTTGGGCATCTTCCACTGCTTTCCCAGGCCACAGCAGAGAGCTGGATGGGAAGTGGAGCAGCCGGGACTTGAACCCGTGCCCACGTGGGATCCCGGCACTGCAGGCGACGGCTTTACCCGCTGTGCCACAGCACTGGCCCCAGTACCTTTATTAAGGAAATTCTCTGTCGGCTGGCCCGTGCCGTGCCCCTCACTCGGGGCGCCCTCTGTCGGCTGCTCTGTGCCGTGCCCCTCGCTCGGGGCGCCCTCTGTGTCCCCTCCTTGTCCTGGCACGTTGGCAGGTTCCAAGGTCCGGTGCTGCGCCTTTCTGTTACCAAGTGATTTTCCGTCCTGTGGGTCTGTGCACTTGACTCATCAGCTGATGGCTGATGGGCATTCGAGGTATTTGTTACAAGTGGTGTTGCCGTGAAGGTTCACCATGTTTCTCTGTGTGTGTGTGTTTGTGTGTGTGTGTACCTGGCTGTGGGATTGTGGGTCGTGCGGCGCTGGCTGTGGGATTGTGGGTCGTGCGGCGCTGGCTGTGGGATTGTGGGTCGTGCGGCGCTGGCTGGGGGATTGTGGGTCTTGCGGCGCTGGCTGGGGGATTGTGGGTCACGCGGCGCTGGCTGGGGGATTGTGGGTCACGCGGCGCTGGCTGGGGGATTGTGGGTCACGCGGCGCTGGCTGGGGGATTGTGGGTCACGCGGCGCTGGCTGGGGGATTGTGGGTCGTGCGGCGCTGGCTGGGGGATTGTGGGTCACGCGGCGCTGGGCGTGGATTTGCCGGGCCTCGTGGTGCCTGCTAGCGCTGGGCGGCACTGTTTTATGTTTGCACGTTGAATTTTATCAAGGGCCAGCAGTGTGCCGCCTGCAAGCCCTCGTGCTGGCAGAATGGCGTCGGCCCCGCCCGGTGTGGTCAGCGGTTAGGGCGCCGCTCCCGCGCCAGGGTGCGGCCTGAGCCCAGTCCTGCTCAGCTTCCGATCCAGCTCCCCGCTAGTGTGCCTGGGAAGCAGCCAATCAATAACAAATTTTAAAAATTGAACAACATGACCAACTCAGGTTTGCCTCCGAATTCTTCTCAGAGGTGGACTGATTTGAAGAGCAGAATGCGCAGCGGGGGACAGAGCTTCCAGCCTCTGCAGGGTCAGGGCTGAGCCGGGAGCCCCGTGCCGGCCTGCCCCTCCCCGTGTGCGCCCCAGCAGGAGCGGGCTGGAGCAGAGCCGGGCCTCTGATACTGGGTGGGGCCCCTCCGCGCCTGTGCGCCCGGGAGTGTCTTGCTCTGCGCCTGGCTGCCTTGGGCCCACGTGGGCAGAGGCGACGCTGCGCGGTCGGGGAAGAGTGGCGGCGTATCTGCGTCCCTCCGCGCGCGGCTTCGCGGGCCGTGGTTTCCTCCTGAACGTTGGCCGGAGCTCGGGGCGGGAGCCTCTTGGGCCTGGGCTTTTCTTTGTGGGAGTTTTTGACGTTTATTTTTATTTGAGAGACGGGGGCAGGCTGTCACGGACAGAGCGAGATCCTTGCTGGTGCAGCCGCAGCCGGGGGCTCCATGCCGGTCTCCGTGTGGGGGCTGCGGCCCGGCGCCCGCGGCACTGCCGGCCCCACTAGCCGAGTGTGGGCGTGCGTCTGCAGCCGGGTCTGCCCAGCTCGCGGGCGCCTGGGGTGAGGTGGCTAGCGGCGCCCTCTGACCTTCTGGGGGCAGCAGCCTCGGTCCCGCGTCCTCGTCCCGGAGCTGCGCCTCGGCGTCTCCTCCGCCTCCCTCCTGCGCGGCCTCGGCCCTGTGCCTGCCGCTGTCTCCTGCGCGGGCGTGGAGTTTCTTCCGGTTGCACCCGCGCTGCGCCCTCAGGTTTCCACGCGCGCTGTTTCTTTACTGAGGCCCAGTGTTGTCCGTGGTAATTTCCTCACTGGTCCCTGTGTGCTTTACAATGCTTCTCGGGCCGGCGCTGTGCCTGGTGGGTTACGTCACTGCCTGCGACCCCCGCGGCCCTGGGTGACAGCAGCCAGACAGCACGCCACCAGCTCCACTGTCAACTCTTCTGTCTCGAGACGCACACTGGGCTGGCGGCCTGGCGCAGCCCCGGCATTGAGGCCATCTGGGGAGCCAACCGGCGGGTGGGGAGCTTTCTCTGTTTTCCCTCTCCGTCTCTGTCATTCTGCCTTTCGAGTAAATAAAGTACATTTTGCTAAAGAAGGTGTTTCTCGATTCGCACCATGGAAGGGGAGGGTTAGGGTACGTTTCTATCAGTGACGTGCAGCGTGTGACGCTCTCGGAGAATGCGGCCCGCGGAGGCTGGAGCTGGCAGGCACTGCACCCCGGCGCGCTGGCCTACACCCACCCCCTCAAGGGGAGAGCGAGCGAGCGAGCGAGCTTCCATCCACGGCGTCACTCCTCAGATGGCCAGTGAGGAGCCAGGCGCTTCCGGGTCTCCGCGCCGGGTGCAGGCCCCCAGGGCCTCCGCGTCCTCTGCTGCCTTCCCAGGTGCGGTAGCAGGGAGCTGGCGCGGGCGAGGACGCGGGCTGCTTTCCTTTGTCCGTGTGTGTGGAAGGCCCTGGGCCCCGTGGGAGTCGCTGCGTGGGGCGGGGCCGAGGGGGAGCCTGCCACTCAGCGGCTCTCCGCCGGGCCGTCGGCAGTGCCGCGGCTCCGGTCGCGCCGGCCTCGTCGCCTTGTCAGCCTTGCTCACTTGGCACATCCTTTGCGTGTGTGTGATTTGCTGTCATAAATTTTTTTTGGTAATTTTTTTTTTTTTAAGATTTATTTATTTCTTGGAAAGGCAGAGCTATAAGGAGAGACACGAAGGTCTTCCATCCGCTGGTTCCCTCCCCAAATGGCCGCAACGGCCAGAGCTGGGCCGATCCGGAGCCAGGAGCCGGGGGCCGCCCGGGTCTCCCAGGCGCTCGGGTGGCGAGCAGTGCCCCTCTGCCTTAGCGCTGGGCTGCTGTCCCTGGTCGCTCTGTTGGGGGTGTCAGACGCTCGCTGGTTTTGGACGTGACGCACGTCTCCCACTGTCACCTGCTCCTGCGCCTCGGGAACTGCTGGCCTCTGGCCTGCGCCTGTGAGGTTCTAGATCGGCTGGATCAGGGTGTGCCAGGCGCCCTCCGGGCGAGAACTGGAGACCCTTCCCCTGCGGGCTCCTGGGGAGGGGAGGCGAGGGGAGGGGAGGGGAGGCGAGGGGAGGCGAGGGGAGGGGAGGGGAGGCAGGGTGTGGAGGCTTCGCTTCCCAGGCGCTCTCCTGGCTTGCATGGGGAGTTGGCACAGCAGGGCTCCGCCCTCAGGCCCCCAGCAGGGGAGGAGGGCGTGCTGCCACCCCTGCCCCTGGGCTGGGCCCGCACCCCTGAGACCAGGGAGCCCCTGCCCGGGGTTTGCCTCCTCTCACCCCCGGCGTCCTCTTCCTCTCGCCAGCTGTCCTCGTGGTAGTGGTGGGGACCGAGGGTCCTCCGGGTTCAGGGACTTGGCGTGGGGCGGTGCCTGGGCGGAGTTCACACCCATTTGCTGGCCTTTTTGGGCAGTCTGGGCCTGATGGGAGGGGGAGTGTCAGGCACTGGGTCACCCCTGGACACCTGTTCGCGGTCTCAGCAGGGGAAGGGGCTCCTCTGGCGGGGGCAGCTCTCTCCTGGTGACGGGGGTGCCTGCGGCGTGGTTGGGGCGGCACGTGCAAGCTGACTGGCCCCAGCCAGGCCCTCGCCCGCGCCTGAAGAGCAGAAGGGGCTGTCGGGAGGTGGGGGCAGCCCCGGGGTGGCCCCCCAGGGGTGCCGTCAGGGTCTGCAGTGTGGGGAGGCGGCGGCAGGGCAGGGCGCGGTTGCTGCCCGGGCCCGGCGGCAGCGTCTCCTGTCCCGCAGATGAAGGGCGTGCTGATGGAGATCGTCCAGCTGGCCGCGCTGGACTCGGACCCCTGGGTGCTCATGGTCGCCGACATCCTCAAGTCCTTCCCGGACACCGGCGCGCTCAACCTGGACCTGGAGGAGCAGAACTCCAACGTGCAGGACATTCTGGGGGAGCTCAGGGAGAAAGGTGCGCGGGGGGGGGGGGGGGGGGCACCTGCTAGAACCCGCGAGCCTCCACGAGGGGCCGAGGGGGCTCCCAGGCGACCTGCTGGGCTCTGACCTGAGGCCAGGGGGGCTGGGGGCCGGCGCTTGGCAGGTCCGGGGAGGCCACCAGCGGGGGCGGGCGCAGCTCGCCGTCCTCCCTTCCCGCGTGGGGCCGCCCGGGCCTGACGCCTGCTTCCGGGCAGTGGGCGAGTGCGAGGCGTCGGCCATGCTGCCGCTGGAGTGCCAGTACCTGAACAAAAACGCGCTGACCACGCTCGCCGGGCCCCTCACGCCGCCCGTGAAGCACTTCCAGCTGAAGCGCAAGCCCAAGAGCGCCACGCTGCGGGCCGAGCTGCTGCAGAAGTGTGAGTGGGCGCGCGGGGGCGCGCGGGGCGCGCGGGGGCGCGCGGGGGCACCCGCCGGCACTCCCCTGCACCGCGACGCGGGCCGTTTTGGTTTTGATTTTTATCCGTTTGAAAGGCAGAGAGACAGACAGCCGCCGGGAACTCGGATCAGTCTCCCAGGGGCGGGGTGGGCGGAGTGCCGTGCCCGCCCTGGGGTCCCCACACTGCTTTGGGGTGCCCTGGCCACCCTGGGGTGCCCGTGCCTGCCCTGGGGTCCCCACACTGCCCTGGGGTGCCCGTGCCCGCCCTGGGGTGCCCGCGCCTGTCCTGGGGTCCTCGTGCCCGCCCTGGGGTCCCCCGCACTGCTCTGGGGGTGCCCCGCGCCTGCCCCGGGGTGCCCACGCCCGCCCTGGGGTCCCCACACTGCTTTGGGGTGCCCTGCCCACCCTGGGGTGCCCGTGCCTGCCCTGGGGTCCCCACACTGCCCTGGGGTGCCCGTGCCCGCCCTGGGGTGCCCGTGCCCGCCCTGGGGTCCCCACGCTGCTTTGGGGCACCCACGCCCGCCCTGGGGTGCCAGCGCCTGCACTGCTCTCGGGTGCCCGCGCCTGTCCTGGGGTCCTCGTGCCTGCCCTGGGGTCCCCCGCACTGCTCTGGGGGTGCCCCGCGCCTGCCCCGGAGTGCCCACGCCCGCCCTGGGGTGCCCACGCCCGCCCTGGGGTCCCCACACTGCTCTCGGGTGCCCGTGCCTGCCCTGGGGTGCCCGCGCCCACCCTGGGGCCCCCGCGCCTGCGTCCAGGCGGAGCGCTGAAGCGGACGCCTTCCCACAGCCACGGAGACGGCGCAGCAGCTGAAGCGCAGCGCGGGGGTGCCGTTCCACACCAAGGGCCGCGGGCTGCTGCGCAAGATGGACACCACAAGTAAGACCCCACGCGTGGGCGCTCGGCGGGGGCCGCGGCGCTGGGCGCGCCCACCTCAGCCAAGGCTCCGCCCGACCCCTCTGCTGAGCTGTCGGGGTGGGCGCCGCGTGCTGCTGTGGGCGGGGCCGCAGGGTCAGGAGCCCCGAAGGGAGGACGCGGCTGATGGGCTGATGGCGCCCCCCCAGCCCCCCTCAAAGGCATCCCGAAGCAGGCGCCCTTCCGGAGCCCCACGGCGCCCAGCGTCTTCAGCCCCGCGGGGAACCGGACCCCGATCCCGCCGTCTCGGACGCCGCTGAGGAAAGAGCGGGGCGTGAAGGTGGGCCCGCCCCGGCCCCCGCCCCCGCCCCCGCGACGCGCCCCCCGCCCCGGCGTGTGACTGAGACGGGCTCTCTCTCCGGCAGCTGCTTGATATCTCCGAGCTGGACATGGTCGGCGCCGGCCGCGAGGCCAAGCGGCGGAGGAAGACCCTGGGTGGGTGGCGGCGGCTGGGCGCGGGCCGGGGCGGGCGCGGGCGGGGGGCTCCGCTGCCGGCCGCTGACGGGGTCTGGATGGGCAGCAGATGCGGAAGCGGTGGACAAGCCCGCCAAGGAGGAGACGGTCGTTGAAAACGCCACCCCGGACTACGCGGCCGGCCTGGTGTCCACGCAGGTAGCGGCGCCTGTGCCCCCGCTGGTCCGAGCGCGAGCGTGCGTGTGCGTGCAGGCCCTGCCGGGGCGCCGGGAGCAGTGCCGGGGGTGGGGGGCGGCAGGGGAAGCCCCCGCGGGCACCATGGCCTCTGTCTTGCAGAAACTTGGGTCTCTGAGCAACGAGCCGGCGCTGCCCTCCACGAGCTACCTGCCCTCCACGCCCAGCGTGGTCCCCGCGTCGTCCTACGCGCCCAGCGCCGAGACGCCCCCAGGTGCGCTTTGCAAAGTCCGAGCTGGGCCGGCCGAGCCCGGGCAGGGCAGCGGCCCCTCACCAGGCCCCTCTGCCGCAGCCCCGCCGTCCCGGGAAGCCAGCCTGCAGGCCGCCCAGCCGCCCGAGGAGCCCGGCGCCCCGAGCCCCACGCTGCCCGCGCAGTTCAAGCAGAGGGCGCCCCTGTACAGCAGCAGCCTGAGCCCCGCCACGCCGGCGCCCGCCGCGCCCGCCTCGCCCCTGACGCCCACCACACCCCCGGCTGCCACGCCCACTGCTCCGATGCCCCCCGTGGCCATGGTCCTGCAGGCGCAGCCCCCCACCCAGCAGCAGCAGCAGCAGCCTAAGAAGAAACTGTCGCTCACGGTAGGTGTGCCGGGCGGGACAGCCCCCTGCGCCTGGAGGTGCGGGACACCCACACCGCCTCCCCCCTGCGCCTAGAAGTACGGGACACCCGCCGCCTCCCCCCTGCGCCTGGGGGTGCGGGACACCCACGCCGCCTCCCCCCTGCGCCTGGGGGTGCGGGACACCCACGCCGCCTCCCCCCCCTTGCAGAACGAGCAGATGCTGGCTGCCCAGGAGATGTTCAAGACCGCCAACAAGGTCACGCGGCCCGAGAAGGCGCTCATCCTGGGCTTCATGGCCGGCTCCCGAGGTGCGTCCCCGGGGTGGGCCGACCCCGGGGTGGGCCGTCCCCGGGGGGTGGGGGCTCCTTGGCCCAGGGGCTTACCCAGCAGCTCGTGCTCCCACAGAGAACCCGTGCCAGGAGCAGGGGGACGTGATCCAGATCAAGCTGAGTGAGCACACGGAGGACCTGCCCAAGGCGGACGGCCAGGGCAGCACCACCATGCTGGTGGACACGGTGTTTGAGATGAACTACGCCACGGGCCAGTGGACACGCTTCAAGAAGTACAAGCCCATGACCAACGTGTCCTAGGGCTGCCCACCGTGGCCACTGGCCCCGAGAGACGCGAGCTCCGAGCTGAGGGACCCCCGGCGGCCCCGGCTCCTGGCCAGGCCCCGGGCCTGTTTGTTCTTAGAGCTATTTTTCCGGGGTGTGGGTTATAACGTGGGGTACTTTTGTGTGATCTGACACTTTTTTTGGATTCAGTAGTACATTTCTGGATGTTGACATTAACCAGAACGTTGTGATTTGTAACGTTAGTGACAGCTGTGCCTGTGGGAGTTTTACCTTTTTTCCTTAAAACCCACTGACAGCAGCGGGGGGTCTTTCCTGGGGTGCCGAGCCCCTCCCCCCTCCCCCGGGGCCCACAGGGCCGCCACAGAGCCCCATCCTCCCCGCCCGCCCCAACACTTGTCTCGGAGCCGTGGGTGTCCACGGCGCACCTTGGGGACCTCCTTTCACTGTAAAACCTCTGCTAATTAAAGGCAGCTCTTCTAACAGACGCCGCGGAGCCGTGCTTGGGGCCAGCGCTGCCCCCGCCCCACCCTCCCTGGGGACCGAGGCCCGCTGGTGGTCCGGGCGCTGCAGCCTGTGGGGGCCTCAGTGCCCAGTGCAAACGCAGCACACGAGCCACATAAAAGAAATAAGAAAAAAGCCTTTAAAAATGTTTTAATACAAAAATACTCATACACAACTTTCCAAACACAACTTTCCACTTTAAATGCTATTTCCCCCAACTGGCAATTCTCACTCAAATCTCTATTTCAATATATTTGCCTCAGAAGTGAACTTCAAGTTTTTAAGTCTAACTATGAAAACTGGTGATAGCACCCAGGATTCCTAGGAGGAGCCTGCCCGTGGTCGTGTGTAGGCACGGGGAGCTGTGTGGGGTGGGGCGGGGCGGGTGCACGCGGCAGTTCCTCCCCGCTGACCCAGCACCAGGGCTGCGTGACTTCCGTCAAACAGGCCCACCCGCCGGAGACCCGGGCAGACGCCGCAGGGGCAGAGCCCGGCCTCTCCACTGCTGGACGCGCCGACGCCGCCAGGCCTGCGGGCGTGGGGCTGCCGCCTGACCCTGTGTGGGCCTGCGTCCCGGTGTGGCTCCTGCTGGCTTCTGAGGCCAGGGGTCCCGACACACACGGGCAGCTTCCGGTCCATGTCCCCGTTCGTGGCCAGGGATTGAAGCTGGTGTTCAGAACATACTGAATCCTCAGAACAGAACTGGGCGGGGTCAGGGCCCTGCCGTGTGCACGGCCAGCTGCGTGCCCAGATCTGTAAACCGGTTTTCTAAAGTTAGTGTTACTTGCTGGTTGGTTGAACAGTCTTTGGAGACGGGAGCCTGTTAAGTCCATCTTTCAGGAAGATGGGATTTGAAAGTTCCAAAGTGACTGCACGGTCCTAGAACGTCACCACCATCGAACACAAGAATAAGTTAGCGTGCTCCCGGGGTGCACTGCAGACGCGGTCTGGGAGCCCTCGGCCGGCAGGAGGGGTTCTCAGACAAGTGACGGCGCTGGCTCGCCCTGCCCAGCACTGAACAACCTGGAGCTCAGCGGGAGTCTGAAGACAGAGGCGGCAGGCCCCGAGGGGGCGCCACCCACCGGCCGCCCGTGCCCAGGAGGCCGACCTGCGTCCGCACTTTGGTTGCTTGCTGCAGACCACAGGGACAGCCTCTGGCTGGCAAAACCGCCTCCCGCTCCCCGGGGGCCAGGGCGGTGCTCGGCCCTGCCAGAACCGGAGTCCACGGGACCCGGGTGGTTTTCAAGTTGTGTAAACTTTTCTCTGGAATGCGTGTGAGACAAAGGCCCGGCCTCCTGCTTCCTCTGGGTGCTCGGCCCTGGCCAGCACCTAGGGGAGCCTCGGGGAGTTCTGTGTGGGGTGCGGCCTTACTACAGTCTGGGGACCGCAGGGAAGCTGCCGTAGCCAGCAATCCTAAACCCCGACCTGGCCTGGGTCCCCGGGCAGCCGTCAGGCCCCTGCAGAGCCCGGTCCAGGCGGGTACTCTGGGTCACATCAGTAAATACACATTTCAGTCGGTGGTGACTTGTGAAGAGTTTAGCAAAAATATATTGAGAACAAAGGCCAGAAACGGGTAAAGAAAAGCCAAATGAAAGAAACAGACCAAGTTCCCCGGCGCTGGTGAGGCCTGAGCGTGCCCAGGAGAGGCGCAGGGAGGGCTGGGGCCGGCGTCTCACCAGCTCGGGAAAGCACGTTGAGAAATTCACATTAGTACACAAAACGAAACATACAGCTGGTCCAGAAGAACGAGTAACGGTCACAACCGTGGTTTCCAAGGAGCCCAGGGTGACTGGCGTCTCCCGAGTGGTGACTGAGCAGGACCGGGCGGCGTTAGCGAGTTAACAGTGACCCTTAGGAAGAAAGACTATTCTATACACTTCAGGTGAGATAAAAACATTTCATATGCCAATTAACTCAATCACAACTTTAACCTAAAAACAGCGGAGGGGACCCTGGCGCTGGTGGAGATTCAAGTGTCGCTGTGGCGCCGAGGGCTGGCGGCTCGGACGGTCGTCAGTGCAGACGCAGCGGCGCTGCGCGGGATGGCTCAGTGGAGGGAGGCCTACATCTGTCCCTGCGGCTCCGGGCGTGGGCCTCGGGGCCAGCGCCACGGGCCCCCCTCCTCGCAGGCAGGGCCGGCGGCCCCGCGCTGCCTGGATCTGCCAAGCGGGCGCCTGGCACTACTTGCCTTCCGTGACCCTGCGCCAGCACCGCCGCCGCCGCCTCTTCCCCTTGCACTTGGCTGGCTCCGGGAAGGGCGAGTCATGCTCGCAGCAGTAGGCCTGCCCGTCCTGGGTGGAGCTGAACACGGCCCCGTCCTGGTGTTCCTTGCAGAACGAGTTGGGGCACAGGTGGCAGAACGACGTGGAAGGCTTGCCGCACACGTCACAGTGATGCCAGGGACACTCCCACTTCCCTGCAACGAGACAGGACGCCACTGAGTGGGCACTGCCGGCCAGGGCAGGGAGCGCGCCGAGGCCGCCGGCTCGCCGCCTCCCGTGTCCAGGCGCCCCGGCTCCTCTGGGACCTGACGTGCCGGCCATCACCCGTGATGACACCTGTGTCTCCAGCCTTGCTCTGTCACCTTTTGCCGCCAGAATGCTCGCCTTCGTACAAACGTCTGTCCTTTTCATGGCTTTCTGGTTTCTCGGGCTCCCTGGAGACTGGGGCCCCTCCTCTCTCAGGTGCAGGCAGCGCACGCCCTGGGCCCCCCACTTCCAGGTGTGGGGCAGCCGGCTGGTGAGCACTGACGGGGATGTTGGGGACCAAGCCTGAGCCCCCCTCCCCCAAGGGCTCCTGCAGGCGCCAGCATCGCGCAGAGCCGAGGGAAGAGCCCGGCCCGGGGACCTACCGAAGGGCCGCTTGCCCAGGCCCAGGCAGGACAGGTGGTAGGCTTTCGTGCACAGCTTGCGGTCACACAGCACCAGCTGGCCGCCGTCGCCGCAGCGGAAGCACTCATCCTCCGACTGCCGCCGGCCGTCCCCCCTGGCGCGGCGCCTCCGGCTTTTCTTCTTGGCCTTTTTGCCCTTCTCGTCCGCAGACAGGGGCACTGACGTCTAGAAGCAGACACGGCGGTTACCGGGAGGGGAGAGTGCGTAGGCCGCGGACGGGAAGGTCAGCGGGCAGGCTGGCAGCCCCGGCAGGGGCAGCTGTGGCTGGAAGGACGTCGAGGCCACACATAGGCACGGCTCTGCCCCAAGGCCAAGCCGCTGGTGCGGTGTGGCACCCGTCAGAGCGCCAGTTTGAACCCCGGCTGCTCCACTTCCAACCCAGCTCCCCGCTGATGCGCCTGGCGAGGCAGTGCTCCGCCCACACGGCTGGGGCTCCGGGCCCTGCTTGGGCCTGGCCCAGACCTGGTGGTAGCAGTGAGCTGGGGAGTGAACCAGTGAATGGAGACTCTCTCCCTCCCTCTCTGCTCTTCAAATAAGTAACTACATCTTAGGGGGAAAAAAAAAAAAAAGGACTTCCCTGAGTGTGCTGAGCGCGGGCGGCTGGCGGGCGGCACAGCCTCGCCTGACCACGCCCCCGAGCCCGAGGAGAGGCGAGGCGCGTACCTTCGGTCTGTCCCCCAGGAAGCCACTGCAGTTGGAGGCCCCGCAGCGACAGACGGTCTTCTCGTTGCCCAGGCAGTCGAGGTTGTAGTTGAAGGTGAGCTCCGTCCCTGGGGGGGGGGGGGGGGGGGACCACACTGGAGATGGTGCCCTCTCCTGGCCGCGCCCAGGCCTGGCACTGTGCCTACCTTCCTACCTGCACTGGCAGAATCCACAGCTGTCCACTCTGCTTCTGACTCCCACGTCACCACCCACCTCCCTCCGCCCAGGTCCCCGCGTGCGGTACCTGCAGGAATGTCGCACACAGCAAACAGGCCCACGCGAGTGTCGCCGTTCACCGTCCACTTGAGGGTCTCGCAGTTGGGCTGGCAGCTGTGGTTCATGAAGCGCGAGTAGTTCCCCTTGGGGCCGGCGTCGATGATGCGGTCCTGTGGGGAGAGGTGGAGGTGGGCCCCCGGCTGTGACCTGGCACCCCCGTGGAGCGCGGGGTCGTGCGCCAGCCAGGGTCCTGCGAATGTGCCTGGGAGGGCAGCTCAAGATGGCCCAAGTCAGCCCCTGGGAAACCCCGATGGAGCTCCTGGCTGCAGCCTGGCCCAGCCCCAGCTGTGGTGGCCATCTGGGGACCGAACCAGCAGACGAAGACCCCTGTGCGTCACTCACTCTGCCTTTCAAATAACTATCACAGGAAAGCCAAGTGATACACGTCTTTACTTCAAAAAGTTCATGGACAGAATTAAAAGTTTATTTTGGCGCCAAAAGTTTTTGAAAACCACGCGTAGGATTTCCATTATACTCATGTGTATGATTTCAAAGACATTTCCACCGAGAGACGCCTTGGAGCCGCTTCCCACGGACGGGCGTGCCGCACGGTGGCCACTGAGAGCAACGACGCGCCCTCCCGCAGGACTCGCACGGCCTACCGCCGCTTGCACTGAAAACCGTGGTGCCCGTACCACTCAGGGCACCGCCAAACCAGTCCTGTCTCTTGCTCACGGACAGGTCAGGACCACAGGATGACCGGAGCCCTGGTGAGCGCAGGACCCTGAGATGGCCCTAAAATGACCGATGACAGACAAAGGCCACGAAGAAATGGCAGTGTGTCACGCCGAGGCCCACGTCAGCCTGCCTCATACGCCGGCACTGCGAGACCTATGCCACGTGCCTGGCTCCAGCTCTGCCCCCGATCCCAGCTTCCTGGCAGGGCACCCCGGGAGACAGGAAGGGCAGCTCAAGTAGCCGGGTCCCTGCTGCCCGCGTGGGAGATCTGGACGGAGCTCGATTCCTGGCTCTGCCTGGTCCAGCCCCAGCTGCTCTGGGCAGTTGGGTTGAGTCAGCAGTTGGGAGATCTGCCAGCCTCTCTTTGCTTTTCAAATGAAACTGAAAGTTTTATAAAATGAGCACCAGATATAAACAAACGATTCCGCAAAGCCAATCTAGACAGACAGCCGTAAGGGAAGCAGTGGACAGAGGCCAATGAGGACGAGCCCGACGGCAGGTGCTGTGTGGGACCCCTGCAGGAGACCCCGGGAGGCAGCGGGTTCCTGGAAGCCCCACAGAGTTCTGCCCCTGGCCTCAGCCCGACCCAGCCCCACATGTCGCAGACTGAAGACCTCTACTCTCAAAGAAAATGAAAATAACTTTTTTTTTAAGTATTTGTCTGACAGAGTTACAGGGAGAGACAGAGAGGTCTTCCATCTGCTGATCCAGTCTCCAAATGGCGGCAATAGCTGAGGCTGGGCCAGGCTGAAGCCAGGAGCCAGGAGCTTCTTCCAGGTCTCCCACAGGGATGGCAGGGACCAGGTACTTGGGCCATCTTCCACCGCTTTCCCAGGGGGCTGGTGCTGTGGCAAGGTAAAGTCGTGACCTGCAGTGCCAGCATCCCATTTAGGTGCCAGTTCAAGTCCCAGTGCTCCACTTCCAATCCAGCTCTGCTGTGGCCTGGGAAGGCAGCAGAAGATGGCCCGAGTCCTGGGGCTCCTGCACCCACATGGGAGACCTGGAAGAAGCTCCTGGCTCCTGGCTTCAGATTGGCACAGCTCCGGCTTTTGCAGCCATTTGGGGAGTGAACCAGCAGATGGAAGACCATTCTGTTTCTCCCTGTCTGTAACTCTGCCTCTCAAATAAATAAATAGGCCAGTGCCACGGCTCACTTGGCTAGTCCTCCACCTGTAGCACCGGCACCTCGGGTTCTAGTCCTGGTCGGGGCGCCGGTTCTGTCCCGGTTGCTCCCCTCTTCCAGTCCAGCTCTCTGCTGTGGCCCAGGAGGGCAGTGGAGGATGGCCCAAGTGCTTGGGCCCTGCACCCCCATGGGAGACCAGGAGGAAGCACCTGGCTCCTGGCTTCGGATCAGCGCAGCGCACAGGCCGCAGCAGCCATTAGGGGGGTGAACCAACGGAAAAGGAAGACCTTTCTCTCTGTCTAACTCTGCCTGTCAAAAAATCAATCGATCAATCAGCAAGCCTTTCTTTTAAAAGGGAGCAGCCAGGACACAAAGTGGCGTCAGCATCGCAGGCGTGGCTTTACCAGCTATGCCCAGCTATGCCCCCGGTGAGTAAACTTCGGAACAAGATGAGCTCGGGGGCTGCACACTGCCTGGGGCGGAGGCAGGAACGGGCTGGAGCACTGTGGTCAGGGGCACGGCACCCACAGGCGGGCCCCGAGGGACGTTCCTGGCTTCTGGCAAAAACTAAGCCACGCCGCTGCCCAGCAACGAGCAAGCGGAGACAGACCACACAGACAGACGTCCCGCGAGCACGTGGGAGAGCCGAGCGCCTGGGAGTGAACCAGCAGGCGGAAGACCCTCTCCATTGAGCAGGGACACTTTACAGTCCTTCAAAGGCACACGGGAGGGGTCTACCATGAAAACAGCATGCGTGCATTTCCAAACTTTGCTCCAAACAGACGTCTTTCCATTCCGTTTTTCCACGCACTTTCTGAAGCCCCTGCACCTGACAAAGACCAAGGTGACGGAATTCGGCTCCGTGGCACTCCCCGTCACGGCCAGAACCCGCGCCCACTCTTCTAGAGCCCTCTGCCTGCGCGTCCACGTCCCCTCCTGGCCTCGCCCAGCTCACTCCCCTGGGGCTGGCTGCCACGCCTCCGCCCGGGCTGGGGTCCATCTCTGGCAGCCTGTAGCTCCTGGGTTTACCGTGCGCCAACACACGGCAATGCTCACTGCGCCTGATCAGAAGCAGGTGTGGGCAGCAGGACGACGACGTCACTTTCCTCCCAGAACACCTCCGAGCACCCCGCGCCGTTTCCTCTGCTTTATCGTTCTGTCCGCGACAGTCACTTCTGTGACGCCATCTTCCACGTCAGTCACCTCCTCTGCGGCTGTCTTAATTTCTCAAACCACCGCTGGCCAATGCAGTGAGGATTCTCCCTGGTTTAGAACTGTTGTCAAGCATGCCCAGTGTGAAATTTATAATCTTCTCTTCAGATTGTAAAGTGACTGTCAGACGCCGCCCGCCTGCAGAACTCGGCACCTTTCACACAAACCAACACCCGCCCCCGGGCCGTGAGCCTGGCCGCTCCCCGGCTTCTGTCACATAACATGACGCACCACACTGCAGAAGCGCTCGAAAAAAATTTCTTTTTTTATCTGAAGGCAGAGTTAGAGAGAGAGAAAGAGAGCGAGCTTCTGTCTGCTGGTTCACTCCCCAGATGGCGGCAACAGCCAGAGCTGGGCCAATCAGGAGCCAGGAGCTTCCTCCGGGTCTCCCACGCGGGTGCAGGGGCCCAAGCACTTGGGCATCTTCCACTGCTTTCCCAGGCCACAGCAGAGCTGGATGGGAAGTGGAGCAGCCGGGACTAGAACCGGCGCCCACGTGGGATGCCGACGCTGCAGGCGCAGCCACGGAAGCCCCTTCTTCCCAAGGCCGAGTACCACGCAACTGCAGGTCCACCAAAGCTCGCTCTTCGTCCACGGCTGCGGGACACTTGCACCCCTCCCGCGTTTTGGCTGGGGTAATTGAAATGCTGTGGGTGTGGTGTCAACGCCTTTCTCTGCGCCTCTGCCTCCCAGTCTTCAGTGCTAACCAGGGCGGATCGGCCCGACCCTGTGACGATGCCCCTTGGCACTCCTGTCCAGTTACCGACTCGTATCACACCGACAGCCGTGACCCAGGGCTCCGGCTCCATGTCCTGGCTGACCAGCTATCTCCCAGCCAGGCTCATGGCAGGGGGGTCTCTTGCTTCGGTTTCGATTGTTATTTCTCTATCAGCGGTGAGGGACATCTTTCTGTATGTTGCTGGTCATCTGCATACTTCTTTGAAGAAATGTCTATTCAAGTCATCAAAAAATTTTTATTTTTGTTTTATTTGGAAGGCAGACAGATGGAAAGAGATCTTCTACCCCCTGCTTCTCTCCCCCACATGCCTGTAAGCAGCTGCGGCTGAGCCAGGCCGAAACCAGGAGACGACTGCAGCCGGGTCTCCCACGGGGCGGCGGGGTCCGTGTGGCTGGGCCACGGTTGGCAAGCAGCTGCATCCGAGAGTGACTGGGCGGGGCCCTGCGTCGTGGCCCCCGCTCACTCTTGTATTTGGCTGTCTGCTTCCTGCGGTTGAGTTTTAGGAAGTTTCTGCATTCTGGGTGTTAATCGGGTATCAGGATTAACAGACACTGTCTTTGGCACAGAATTCAACCATGTCCACGAGGTCTGGTTTGTCCACTTTGTCTTTCGTCCCCTGCACCTTTGTGTCAAGTCTAAGAAATCACTGCCCGGCACCGAGCAGCTTCTGTTCCGGGTTTCACTGTCTCAGGCCTGACTTGGGCCCTGATCATCTAGAACTTCGCATGTGATGTTGGGTCAGGACCCAAACACCCCTCCCGCACGCGCAGACCCAGCCTCTCGGCTCTCGTCCAGATCCGCAGGACCACAGGGCTCACCTGGCTCAGAGCTGCGTTACAACACGGCCATGCTCCCAGCTACAGCTCTGTGCTGGCAGACCGCTGGAGCCGCACGGTGTAGGGCCTCCCCCTTCACGGCCCCTGTGTCTGTGGCGTCTCAGGAGGGTTTGTGGATTTTACTGGCCAACTGAGTCCTAAGTACTCCATTCTTTCCGAGGCTGGGTCACCACTGCAGCTGTCTGCTGACCTCCCTCCTGTCAGGCACAGAAACTGGGTGCGTGTGTCCACTCTGCAGTCCACGGTCATCTCTTACTACCTCTCATGGCTTCTCACACAGTCAGCAGAGAACGCTGTACTCTTCCTCTCCAGTTTCCATGATTTCATTTCATTTCCTGGCCTGTTCTGACTAGACTTTCAGTGTTCTGTTGAGTGAGCGGCAAAAGCAGCATCCTGGCCTCGCCTCTCCTCGGAGGCGCAGCTCAGCCCACGCCGGCTGCGTGTCCCACGAGCTTCCTCCACACGGAGGCGGTCTCCTCCTGTCCCACAGCGGCCACCTTTGCTCTCCAGCAGCTCAGGGGATCACGTGTCCCTCTCCACCCTGCAGACCACGTGGTCCACTCCACCCTGCAGATCACGTGTCCCTCTCCACCCTGCAGACCACGTGGTCCACTCCACCAGAGAGTCCCGCTGCCTGGCGTTTGTTTACAGAAGCACCCCTGCACTCTAGCACGAAGCCCTCGCGCGTGGCCCGATTCCTCTGCCTGACGGCCACGAGGGACGCGGGCTGCAGCCCTTCTCTTCTGTGTCGTTGCTGGGCTTTGGTGTCAGGATACTACTGGAGAACAGAATGCATTAGGGGCCGGCACTGTGGTGCGGTGGGTTAAGCCAACGCCTGCAACACTGGCTATCCCATAGGAGCACCAGTTCAAGTCCTGGCTATTCCACTCTCTAAAAAAATTTTTAAGAACTTATTTATTTGAAAGTTAGAGTTACATAGAGAGGAAGAGACAGAGAAGAGAAAGATCTTCCATCTGCTGGTTCACTCCCCAGAAGGCTGCAGCTGCCGGGGCTGGGCCAGGCTGAAGCCAGGAGCCAGGAGCTTCTTCCGGATCTCCCACGCTGGTGCAGGGGCCCGAGCACTTGGGCCATCTTTTGCTGCTTTCTCAGGCACGTTAGCAGAGAGCTGG